TTTAGGCACCTGTTGATTCTTAGAATCCAGCCAAGAGGTGATTGTCTTTTTTTCTTTTTTTTTTTATACTTTCAGTAATAAGAAAGGGACTTATAACCCCAAAGAATCACATATTCTGATTTTTGCACAACAGCCCCTGGAATGTTTGGAGTAAATAATTTTTCTAAAATAGGCAGCTTTACAATTTATTTTATTTGTAAAGATAATATTTTTGGCAAATGCAATGAATTTGTTATTATTTTATGCTATCCAAGGTAGAGAAATATTTTCTAAATTGTATTTACGTTTAGCTTTTGAAACATGATTTATGTCAAAACTTGCATATGTGGTATTTAGAATCTAAATTGAAATATCTTATGGTTTTCATATTTTTCTACAAATAATTAAAAAATCATTTGCATATCTTATTTGGTGACCTGGAACTAGTTGAAATGTAGATGCTTTATAAACCATCTTAACTACTGATATTATCTTGCATTTGTGAACCATGAAATAGTTCCATTTATTGACCGACTGTTATGTCACTGGGGAGAAATGAATTTTCACTGCGTGTTTTATGGTGCCCATTCAGTGACTTCAGCATTCAAATAAATAATGCTTTAATGAGAAAAGCGATGGCCTGGTGATTTCACTGTGGGAATGAGAGTAAAGAGCTCTGGGCTGTGATCCCATCAAAGCACCTGACCGACTTTCAGGATCAAGACAGGCATCACTTCCCTGTGCCTGACTTGCCTCAGATGCAAAGTAGATTAAGAAAATTGACTTTTACCGAAGTAGAATGAGAAGCAGTATTTGCCTCATGCTTTGAGACTTAGATAAATGTTGAAATTTTTTTTAAATCCCACAGTATTTACATATTTATTGAGACTTCTCCATATTGGGGAAGAGGATGCCAAGAGACTGTGGAATGTTTGAAGGCACCGTGGCAGCCTCATTGTCCCTTTGTGTGACAATGAAAGTAGTACATTTTCTTCAGGTCACCTACTCCCCCGTCATTCTTTGCAGGAGAAGCCGGGTAAATCAGGGCCTTGGTCTTCAAGGCAAACATCTGCGGGCACACTGGTAAAAGGAATTCACCGTGAGTGGTACTTGAAGGCTAAGCTCGGGGACCGACCTGCTCAAAGGTTTTGTTACCTTGGCATTAGCAAATGCTGCCGAAGTCACTCCCTGGTTGTCACCTCCTCTTCGGCACACTAGTCCTGCCCTTGGGTGAAACAAACTAGATTATAACTTACTTTGCCTCATTTACATTTGCAGTAAAGAGATGTATTTGTTTTCTTTGTTTTGTCTTTTGAAGGGGAGGGATGTTTGGTGTCTGTTACTCTCCCTCTCCTATCAGTCCAAAGAGTCAGATAGGGAGGGTAGGGAGGTGCAGCCCCCTAATCCGCTAGGCAGGGGTCCAGGGCTTAGGCAGGAGGTATTAGATGTGCCTAGCAATTTAATACATTCTCGCCACATTCCACACGGCAACTAACAGATAGGAGGCAGCACCAAACTTCCGTGTAAACAGGTAGGTCCATATAAGGTCTGAAATTTTAGTTCCAGAAATCGATCCTTTTAGGAGGCGGTGTCTTGCATGATGTACAGCCCAAGTGTGTACACTGTTGATAGAAATAATCATCATAATAGGACCGAAGGTTCGAGAAGCACTTCTGTGTTATCACGCGCAGTCTTTGTGGCTTCCGCGTAGGGTAGACATTGCTGTTCTTGTTCTACAAACGAGGACACTGAAGCTACAGGATGAATTTTAATTAGAATATTTTAAACTATCCTTGGTCTAATATGGTGAATATATTGTGATATTTTTCTATGAGAAAGGCAGTGTCTTTTTTTTAAAGACACTAATCTATACCAAAAGTAAGTGGATTTTCCCAGTCTGACTTTGCTGTAAGTAAAGAAATGACAAAAAATTTCTAGTGCTTTCGAACATGTCTACTGTAATTAGGGAATCTTTCTTTCTTTTCTTTTCTTTTTTTTTAAAAAACAATGTTAACTTTATTTTCAAAGTTAGACTGACTTGACCTTTCCGTTAAGAAAACTGGATCTGGTCCCAACACTGACGTTAACTAGTTGGGTGATATTAACCATTTTTTGTTTTGTTTGGTTTGGTTTTTTGGTTATATAGTTTCTTCATCTTGGTTTTGTCTTTTTTTGGGGGGTGGGGGCGAGAATCTTTCTGGAATTCATTTCATTTTAAGTTGGTTAATTGAATTTTCTCCTAGAGAAAGTAGGTCTGAACTGCACCATTTTCTCTGTATCGACTCTGTAAAATCAGTTCTGAGTTTTGAATATCTGCTTTGCTGTTCTCTGATAGTTAAGTGTAGGGACTTATGCTTGATGATACTGATTCAAAGTCTTTGGATTACAATATACCGTGCACATTTAGAGTGTATATACACACATACACATACACATACTGCTGTAACAGATGAGCAGTAGCTTCAACAACAGAAATGTATCATCTCATGGTTCCGGAGGTTAGAAGTCCAGAATCGAGGTGTTGACAGGGTTGGTTCCTTCTGGGGGCTCTGAGGGGATGTATACACACACACACATACACATACTGCTGTAACATGAGCGGTAGCTTCAACAACAGAAATGTATCATCTCGCAGTTCCGGAGGTGAGAAGTCCAGAATCGAGGTGTCGACAGGGTTGGTTCCTTCTGGGGGCTCTGAGGGGAGGCTCTGTTCCAGGCTTCCCGTGACCTGTGGGTGGCTGTCTTCATGTTCATACGGTGTTCTTTTTGTGGGCATGTCTCTGTGGTCCAATTTCCAGTCATAGTGGCTTAGGGCCCACCCTAAAGACCTTATTTTAATTTGATTACCTCTGTGAATACCCTGTCTCCAAATAGTCGCATTCTGATGTACTGGGGGTTAGGACTTCAGCATCTGAATTCGGGGAGGATACAACTCACCCCATAACACTCGCACTCTCACTCTGTATCTATATATCTATATCTTTATCTGTATCTTTATCTGTATCCATATATGAATCTGTATCTCTATATATCTCTATCTATACTTACTATATATGTATTTATACACACCATATTTGTGTGTGTGCATATATATGGTTCAATATTTGATATATTTCTATTAAATTTTAAGTCATCTTAATACATAAATTTAAATAATCATTGAACCATCATCGGATAACAAACATTTCTAGAAAGTAGTGTGTTTTGTCTGCACCAGAAATAATAGAAGCAGGTCTTAGCCTCCCGTCTTCGCACACCTGTTCCAGATTCTCAGAAGGGGTATTCTACCCTACTCTTCTTGTTTCTGTTTTATGATGGAGGAATAGACCCTATTTTTACAGTGCCTTTTAGATAAACTAGTGGAACCCATTCGTTGGTGGAGTTCAGTGAGTAATTATATATCACTGTTGGTTCATTAGTTGTGACGATGAACCAACTATAGTTTTACCTACTATAGCAACGTCAGGGTTATCGACGGGGACTTGGGTGGGAGGTATATGGGAACTTTGTGCTATCTTTGCAACTGTCTTATAAATCTAAGGGTATTCTAAAGTGGAAAGTTTATTTAAATATTTAAAAACCATTTATAATATCAAATAGAGTCTGGGACATATAAAATAGTTCATTATGCCATCTTCAGAGTTATATAATTGTTTTGTTTTTATGCCATTGCCCATATATCTTTTCATACTAAAGAACGGATAAGATGTGGCCTCTAGAGGACAGTGTTGGGTCATAGAAAGATTTTCGTAATCTGTCCAAGTTGAAAATGAACTTACTTTTTACTTTTGAACCACAAGGCTTCTGTTTATTCACTATCCCTCATTTGGATGGCAGCGTGTTTCACTTTGCAGCAGCCTATAGATTTCTTATTTTTTGCTCAAAGAATAAATCTGTTAAAATCTATTCTGTTGAGTTGGGATCTATGAGCCTTTTAATAGGATTTTGGAAAGAGAATGGAAATTTTACAGCTCCTCGTAAATAGCCTGATCTGTAAGTTAAGATCAATATTTTGTTCAGCCACCATCAAAGTTGAACCTATGGGCAGGAGTTTTCTTGCTCATCCTCATCTAATAGTGCCAGGTACCAAAAATTCTTTTTCCAGGTGTAATATTCTCTTCATTAGTGGTATTAGCACAAAGATCCATTGGCCATCAAGGTATTTAATAACTCTTTCAGTGACTTGATCTATATTTTGGTCCTTGAGATAATGATTGGTCCCCTAACCCGGTCCCTTATCCAGCGTTCCCTATGTCAGGGAATAACATCACTCTATCCCATTTGTGCAAGTTAGCATCCTGGGAGTTGTCCTTGACTCCTCTCTCTTTTTCTAATCCTTGCCCATAATAGATGCAGCACTAGGTCCTACTGATTTTACTTCTTAAATATTTCTTGAAACCATCTACTTGTGTCTCCATGGCCACCACTCTAGTCGAAGCCCTTAGATTATTACTGCAGAAACCTTCTCACCTGCAACCAGCGGAATCTTTCAGACACAAATCAGTGAGACCTTCAGTGATTTCTCATTGGTCTTAGGATAACAACCAAAGTCACTTTCATGACCCTAAGGCCCTGAGAAGTCTGGTCCCTGTCTCTCCAGCGTCATCTGGAAACGTTCTCCTTGCTCCCTGTGCTCCAGCCTCCTGGCCTCCAGTGCATCACACAGGCTCTCAGTGCGTGCGATTTCCTCCGCCTGGGAGTCTCTTCCCTGCTGTCTTTCTCTAATGATCTTCTACTCATCCTTTATAAATCAGCTCAAGTGCGATTTCCTCATGAATGCCTTTCCTGATCCCCTGGCCTGGGAATGCTCCTTTACTTTATTGTGCTTACATAAGCACTCAGCTTTGTTGTTTTTTGATTAATTTATGTCTCCACTACCAGAATATAAACTCTATGAGCAGGGACCATGCCCAAGGATGCTCACTATCAAATCCCAGCTCTTGGCACAGGGCTTAGAAAAAGTAGCTGCTCAACACATTTGGTGAATGAATAAGTGGCTATTTTTTTTATTGAATGTGTAGGTAGAGGAAGAAGAACCCACTGGATACATTCGATTTGAAAAATTTCTTCCAGTGATGACCAACGTACTGCTGGAAAGAAGGTAAGAAAGGAAGTGCAGTTGTTAAGGTAAAATATTGGTAAGAATTACATTGATTCCGAATCACTTGGCTTTTCCGCTTTGTGCATCGTACTCAATCAGTATTTATCCCCAGATAGCGTCCCTCTAACTTCCCATTACATTTCTGAACTGCTAGTTGGTACGTGCTTAGAAATATAAACCCTTTTAGTATTAATCTAATAAGCAAAGTGTGATTAAAGGGCAAATAAGCTACAAAAACCATAAATCAGCCACATTCTTATTAACTTCTATTTTGAATTATTAATGTAAATAAGAATTAACCCTAATTATTTTTCTAGAGAAAGTGTAGTGTTAGCTTACCATAGTTGTTTATTATAGACATTTTGTTCCCAGATATATTGATTTCCACAATGATGTGAAAAAAACTAATAGATAACATCAGACATGCCAGTGATTTTGAACTAAGTATTTCCTGTGGGTATGGAGTGCTACCAACTTTCATATCTGGAAATCCTAAAAGATTTCAGTGAGGGAAGTATTTTTTTTCTAGTATCTTAGCAGTTTTGTTTCGTTTTCTGTGATCGTTTATCATGTAGAGTCTGAGCTAACTACCATGGCATTTACTCCTTTCATTGCATCCTTAGATACAGACCAGTTCCAGAAGATATCCTTCTCCGTGCTTTTGAGGTACGTAAGCCCCAGATTTTATATATATTTACATTTACATTAAAATTTCATCATATAGAATTTAGTCACCAAATGAAAAATATGATATCTATCTTTTTCCCTAGGTATTAGACCCAGCTAAACGTGGGTTTCTTTCTAAGGAAGAGCTGATCAAGTATATGACCGAAGAAGGTAAGAGTGACTTATTATAACAGTGACTTATTTAAGTGATTAGTAAGTTAACAATAATGCAAAAATTCTAGGAGCTACTTTAAAATCAGTCATTCTGGTTAAACAGTTATTTACTATTCCTGTTATTTGGTTTTCAGGTGGTTTTTGTTTTGTGGTGAGTAAGAGGAAAAGGGTAGGTTAAGGAGAGATGAATTGTTGCCTTACAGAATTTTGTGAAGTATAATAATACTTCTATAACTTGAAGGGATTTCATTCACTTAGAGTATTTCCAAAAGAAAAGGTATGCCACGTGGAAAAACATGAGCTATCAATCACTATAAATCAATGCCTGTCATTAGATTAAAGATTTAAACTGGAGTATATAAAAATTCCTTTTTAAAGAGCTTTTCAATTGGCGAAATTATAGATAATACAGCCTCAAACGAATATGAATTCACACAAAAATGTTGTTTTTTATGCTAATGGAACCATATATATTTGCTTTGAACTTGAACTATACCCAGACATACACATACTTATATGTAGTACCTGCACACCTGTATATGCCAGCATATTTCTTTTAGGAATTCTTTTTGCTCAGGCTGATGTATAAATTCGTTTTCTCTGAATGTCGGTAGCCTAAGGATATTCTATTGTCCATTCTTATATTGGTCACCTCCCCTCCTCCCTACAAAGTTAGACTTCTGTCTCCTTTGTTCAGCGCACTCACTCACAGATTGAGTCCTGAATGATTCAGAGTTGCTGGTCACTTGAGACAGAATCAAAAGTGCACGTAATTCTGAGTAGGGGAGACGAAGACTGCGTCTGCGTGCACAACTGCTTTGACCATTCGACTTGGTCCACCATTAGGTGCGAATACAGGGAATGAGAGTAAGGACGACCTGACAGTCACAGCTGCCAGCCAGGGACTCTTATGACATTGTTAAAAGCACCGTACAGATTAACTTCGATGGAAATGTTAGGACTTTCAAAGCATCAACCTCTTAATTCTGAGGATTAAATTAAGAGAAGTAAATCCTAAATTCTATACGGCAATATGAATTTGGTCAAAGTGGTTGAGGGGTACTGAGTTCAGTGAGAGGTAGCGATACTAAAATCTGTTCCTTTACTCAAGGATATTATATTATTATTAGGGGAAATAGAACTAACTTATAAAACAGTTCAGAAATATAAGACAATAGAAAAAATGTGTATCAGCCTGGAAAGCTTGGTCTGGGAAGACTTAAAGAGGAAATAGTTTTCTTAAGATGATAGAATTTATGTGGCTGAGTTATTGAGAGCAGGGGTAAAATCTTATGCACCTCCACACATAGTAAGTCTCAACAAATGTTTGTTGAATGAATGAATGAATGAATGAATGAATGAATAGATGAATGAAGAATGGGTGAAGGTTCTGACGAGAGGAAGACATAGATTGATAAAATAGTATGAACAAAAACTGGGAGGTAGGAAGGAGCATGTTTTGAGAGCCTGTGAGAAGATGGGGCCCAGAGGGGCTTGTTGGCAAACAGTAGAAATGAGTCGAGGTAGGTTTACTGGGAGTAGATTGTGGAGGCCTGGGCTCAGGAGTTTCAAATTCATCCTGTGGGCAATGGAGAAGCACTGTCAGCTTCGAGCAGATGGATCACACAGTGCAAGAGGGATTGTGGGAAAGTTAAATGGTGCCGACAGGTTTGTTAGATGAATGAGAAAGAGGTTATACTAGGGAGACCAATTAGGAGACTATTTCAGCATTTTGAAGGGACCCTAGTGAAGGCCTGCTCCGGCAGAGGCAATGGGCATGAGAGGAAGAGGTTGATGCAGCAGGACTGTCTACAGCGGGATCCGTGGGTCATGATGAGGAACAGAGTGCAGGGGACAAAGATGGGAGTGGAGTCAAAAGTAACGAGACTTTGACCTGGATGATGGGTGTTATGTTTTGCTCTTGACTGAACTAGGAAGTCACAAACAGACCGAAGTGGACACACAGACAGTTCAGCTTTTCACAATATCCACAGAATATCAGTCAGTTTGAGATTATGCCTCTAAATGCCCAGGATGTCACATGGTAACCATAACAAGTCACATCGAATCAACTTCAGGGAAGTCTGCATGTGTCCAGGCATGTTTATTGTGTCAGACAGTACTCAGCAGCAGGGAAGATCTCAAAAAAATTTTTTTAAACAAACACATGTTACTACTTTTGTGCCAGACAACGTTCTAAGTACTATTAAAATAACAACACTTTTAACCCTCATAACAACCCTATAATAGGATAGTATTTTCATCACCTCCATTTTACAGACAGGAAAACTGGGGCACAGAGAGGTTAAGCGAGGTGCCCAGGATCTGAACGCTAATAAGACAGCTTAGCATTTGAACCCAGGCAGTCTGGCTCCCAAACTTGTGCTTTTAATCATTCAGCTGTTTTCCTCCCATCCTTAATCAAATGCCGCATATCCCTTTCCTCGCCCAAGGAAGCACCGTGACCCGCTTCTGTAATTTACTGGGGGCAAGGCCTTGTTTTGAGAGGCAGAGTTTGGTCGTTGAGTTCACGGACCCTGAGCTGGACTGCTGGCCTTCAGATCCTAGTCCTAGCACCCCCCGGGGCCAAGGCTGCCTGGTTTCTTTGTGTGCCTGTGTCCTCCGCTGTAAGTGGGCGTCACAGTGCTCACCTCTCATGAGGTAGTTGGGAGGTTAACTTAGTTAATGTATATGAAGCACTTCAATCAGTGCCTGGCACACAGTACTTCTCAATAACTGTTTGTTCTTAGTATTCTTTTAAGGACTTACATGGTACCCATCAAAGTTCATTGGCAGTGGATTTAATATTTAATAGTCAGGTATAAAAAAGATTGAGAATTTGTCTTTTTAGGCATTTTAGGCATTCTTTCTTTTCTTAGGTTGTGAGCATGATTTCAGAAGAACTCAGTACGTTCCCCATGCTTAATAGCAATATCATCTTTGTCATCAAATCCCCACTCAAACAGTTTCTGGATTTCTAACTAGTTCCCATTTAGAGAGCGTTGTTCATAGCGGCAGGTGACTTAAGCTCAGAAGGTAGGTGATCCTCAGGCTTTGGTAGCTTACCTGCTTAGGTACAACTTTTCACAGGTGAGGTGGCTATTTGGATATTTCTGTATTTTTGCTTAATATCAGACAAAGTTCTTTCTTAAATAGTCGACAGCCTTTGTAGCATTCTTCCTGAGTTTGCTTCTCATCTTGGTGAAACCAACATCCAAGATGGCCCTCAGCTGTTATCAGAATCCACCGAAAACCCAGAGATTTTCTGGTCAACTTTTGGTTTCATTAGACAGCGGCACTGAGCCGAACTATAACGAAGAGGACTGTTCTGAAACGGTTGACGAATGGTATCTGTCCCTGGGTTCAGCTGGCATCACCACACTGTCCAGACTGAGCAGGGAACACTCAGAGATGTAGTTGTTATAATCGCACAGGCTCGGCGGCTGCTCTCCGGCACTTTTGCATAGCGACCGTTTATCCCTCCCTTCATGCCCTTACTAAATATAGTGTTTAGACTTCCTGTAAAACTGGACTTCAGGTCAATCCTTTGGCAATTTCGATAGTTTTAATTTAAATAAATAAACAACCTTATCCATGATGTTTTACGCCTTCTGGTGTTTTGGCTGGAATGATTGCTTGAACTACAATTTCTGTAAATAAGTCCAAAATCTTCCAGGGTACAGCAGCATCCTCTTTGAACTCCTGGACTAGCATGACTCTGTGACTCCCAGGGAGAGTAACTAGTGACATAGTGGGGGCTGGTGGGGTTCCATGGCAGTTAAGCTGGCTAGTGGAAAGAGAAAGAAAAAAATCAGAAGGTTGTAAGTGATGAATTTCTCTTCTTGTCCTTCCCAGGTGAGCCCTTTTCCCAGGAGGAAATGGAAGAAATGTTGTCTGCTGCGATCGATCCAGAATCAAATTCGATTCATTACAAGGACTATATAACAATGATGGTGATAGATGAAAATTAAACTCTCTAAATACTTAATTTCTTATCGAAAGGATGATTTTGAAAACTGCTTGTCCTTGTTAATTTTACACTTTATCTTATAATTCCAACATATGCTAATTAATGCTTTATGACAACTATTTCAAGATATTTTGTTTTTTAAAAGATGATCATATTAAAAAATGTATTTGGTATGTCTTGCCATGTGGAATGACAAATTACTAATTATTTTAAAACTATTCTTAAAATATTTTAACATTATCAGTGGGTTATTATTAATATTCTACAGTAAAACCAGGTTACCTTCAAATTAACTAAGCTGACAAAATGAAAAATGACTAGAATAACCCCTGGTTTGACATATAAAGATTGCAGGAGGGGGCAGAATGACCACAAATTGAAAATGAATAGCAATGCGAGGAAAGCTGCTTTTTAAAACAACAACACACACTTCAGCCATCTGAATGTGGAGGGAGAGTTACTAAAATGAATATTAATATTCGATTCCTAATGAGTACCAATTACGAATCTCATTTGAGATGATGATAACTTAGTGTAAAAATTTAAATTTGCTGATCCAGCATGTCACCGTTAATGGGTTAGCTAAAGGAGCAGAGATAATTGAATCTAGAGAAAAGAGGACTGAATTGCAAACTGATCATGTAAGGAAGTGGCAATTATCTTCTGATCTTTAGAATTCTCACCCGTTCAGAATACCTGTTGTGTGAATATTGTCCTGAACACTGAGGAAGAATATCGAGAAATCTTATGTCGTGCAGGAGGCACAGCTGTGCAAGAGGGAATACAGACGGCTGCGTGCGAAGCAGCACGTGGAAGAAGAAGCAGGGACTTACTTAGAATTACAGGGGAGAAGAAGCCGAAGGAAAATCAATAGTCTTCCATAACCTATATGTACTTTTATTCCCCCGCCCCTCTCTCTCTAAAGATGCTTCATCACCTCACGTGTGTAAATGCACATAAACACTTGACGTTGCCTGTGATTCTTCCTCCTCGGCACGCAGTCTTGCCCCCCAAGAGAAGATAGGATGCTGCCACCCAAGAGACTGTTCGCCACTGTTCATTTCGTCATGAAACATTTGCTGAGTATTAATTGGATAATGCGCTAGGAACCGGAGTTGCAAGGTGAATCAGTCCCTAACTGACAAATGAGGTCGCAGTTTAGTGAGGCAGAGGAGCGAGTCGGTCGCAGGTGGGCACGTTCAGGGCACCGGCGAGGTGCACAAGAGGGCAGCTCACTCAGCCAGGCGGGAGCTTCTGGAAGATGAATAACTCTCATGAGTGGAGAGGGCTTCCCAGAGCAGGTACCGCTGGGTTTAAAGACAAGCGGTTTACCATGTGGGCGGCAGGCACAGGGCATCTCAGCAGGGGGCCAGCAAGGACGAAACCCCCAGAAGTGTCCTGACACATGGAGCAATGTGGGGTTGAAAGTAGTTTAGTGTGTTGGTATGCGGGAGATATGATGGATGAGAGGGAGATGAAATTGGAGTGGTAGACGAGCTGTATCATTGAAGATACTGGGTTAGGTGTACAGTTAGGATTTTAGTGTTAGAGTTTGGACTTCCTTCTGAAGATCTTGGAGAAAGAAATCTCATTCGTAAATAGCACAGAAAATAGATGTGAAGAGTCAAGACTAGAAGGAGAGAGACCGGAGGTAGGCTGTTTGGTTGGCAAGGGGAATGATGAACAAAGACAAGCATGTGTCCCGGGTCTCTGATTTGAGCAGCTGGTGAGTTACAGTGCCATTCATTCAGGTAAGAAATCCAAGAAGCAAACTGGGGCTGATGGGCAAAATGATGAGTTTGGCTATGGACACCTTGGGATTGAGGAGCTTGGAGACATCAGTAATCAGCTGGATTAATAGAAGGAAGATCTGGCTAGAGACACGGGTTTTGGAGTTTATGAACTCCAGTCGTAGTTGATGCTTTATTTTTTTAATTTTTATTTTAATTTTAATTTTTGTTTTAGGTGAGGCAATCCTTGGTTGACCTCACAGATTGCAAGGACCTTGTCAGTTTACAATCCCTTTTTATTTTTTACACCTACAGCACCTGGTCTTCCTAGGTGGTCTCCCATCGAAGTACTAACCAGGCCTGACCCTGCTTAGCTTCCGAGATCAGACGGGATCGGGCTTGTTCAGGGTGGCGTGGCCGTAGACAGTAGTCGATGCTTTAGATAGAAAAGGGAAGATGGCCAACAGAGCCATGGGGGCCATCGGCAATTCGAGGGGAGGGAGAGGACCCCACAGAGATGGGGAAGGAGAAGCTGGAGAGGAGTGGAAGCGGGGAGAAGCCTCTTGGAAGCCGAGCGTGGAGGACGGGTGACGTGGCCATGAAGAGGAGAGACACGGAGCTGGAGGGAGGCAGCAGGTGGAAGGAGTTAGTTTTGGAAGATGAGACACTTGCCAGCGTGTTTCTGTTCAAAAGGCTGAGAACCAGCAGAGAAGCTGAAGATTCTAGGGAGGTGGGAGGACCAGGTTCCAGCATGAACACAGGATGGGCCTTGGGCGGTTTGGAACAGGAGCCAACTTACGTAGTTCCTGCCTAATGACCTCCATTTCCTCTCTGAGCGAGGAGGAGGGCAGTAGGTCACAGAGCTTGAGGAAAACAGTAATATTTGGAAACATCTCTTGTGGGAAATAGAATGAGTTGAGAAAGAGCCTATGTCAGGACTTTGGAGAAATCCTGGACTTTATTCAGTCGCGCAGGCTCAGGAGCAAATGTGGTGGCTTGTTGTATTGACTCAGGGCTGAGGTTTTGTCATCGGTGGGATGGAAGGAACCAAGGGTCAAGGGGGTCTAGGTGTCCCCGAGAAAGCAGTTATAATCCTGGAGTCCAAGTACTGGGGATAGATGGAGGTCGAGTGGGTGACAGGCTGGGAGGCAGGGGCTGTGGCCTCGGAACCTCTGAATGGGCAACGGCTTGTGTGCTGGGAATAAGGGCTGTGTCCTGCTAGGAATCTGACGTCTCTGTGGACTTAGAGTATTCTTTTATTCTCCTGTGTTATTGCTGTAAGAAATAATAATAGAGAACATTTGCGGGCTGGTCACTGAGTGCTTTGCATGTATTAACTCATTTATCCTGACAGCCACCCCATGACATGGCATTATAGCGTTACCCCATTTCACAGAGGCGGTGACAGAGAAGTTATACAGCTCTGAGGAGATCTGTTAATCACTTTTTGCTAGGTTTGCTGTGTAAACAAACAACCCCAAAATCTCAGTGGCTCATTACAATAGAAGTTATTGTTTACTCATGTTTTATGTCACCTGGGGTCAGCTGGGACTCGGCTTCATGCGTCGTCTTTGTTCGATTCACCTACTTCGTAAGTGGGGGGACCACATGTCCCAGTTTACCCAGGGTAGTCCCAGCCTCCACTGTTGTCCCAGCATAATTATTAATCGGTCTCCCTTTTAGAAGTATCTCAGGCGACTAATATGAGGTCACCCCATTTAAAACCAGTGAAGAAAAATGATGGACAGGAATCATCACTTGTGGAGTTTCATGAAAAAATAACAGCGGCGTAGCAACGGAAGGCGTCTGTCCCTTTGCTGGTTCCCCAGGACTCTGCAGGGGCAGCTTCCAGGTGGAGAACTGCAGTGCTGCTCAGCTGTCCTGTGGGAATCACCATCCAGAGGTGACGATAGCCACATGCCTCGAGGCCGGGTGGACAAGGCTGCGAGGGGGCGTGGTGACCCTCAGCATGCACAGACAGGCCACAGCTGCAGCTGGGAAGGAGGGTGGCAGAGACAAGACACACACTAGAAGGTGGCAGTACGCCCAGGGGCATCGTTTGGCAGCAGCGGCCGGCGCCGACACGCAGCATGACGGCGTGTGCCGCTGCCTACTGCGTCAACCCAGGCACGGGCCAGCCCCGAGCTGTTTTCTGAGCCCGTTGCCCAGCAGATCCCCGGTTCTGCCAAAGAAAGATGGTCTGGTGAACGAGCCCCAGTCTCTTCATGATGAAGATGACGTCGCGTTCTCCTTCCTAGGAGAGGCTCCCCGAGAGAAGGATGCGTCAGGATGGGGTACCCCCAAGTCCCACCTTCCAGAATTCTTTCAAAAGTTCTGACTTATGTCAAACTTCACACTCTGTCTCAAGGAAATTCTCTCTTTAGTAGTCCTAAGAGTTAGCTTTATGGAATGTGATTAATTTTATCTTTAGCACAAATTTGTCGGTTTATTTAAGGTCATCAAAAAGTACAACACAGGCTTTCCGCAGAAATCTCATTTGATCTAGCTGCAGGATAAATGTAGCATATTTGCAAAGGGCACATTTTTCTCTATACTCAGACCATTTCAGTTCCTCTTTGATCCCTGGCTTACCTACCTGCTTACCTACCTGCTTACCTACCTGCTTACCTACCTACTTATCCTCAACATCCAGTTTAAATCACAATGGCACTTTCCTGGCAAGAAGAACTTGGTCTCTGGGGCAGGAAGTTCCCTCCCTCATCCTTGTAACTGGGCAGAAGCCGAGTCTGCCATGGCCTCCAGCCCTGCCGGCCGTGTGGAAGGACAGCTCCATGCTCACATCTCTGGGCTGGGGAAGCTGTGTGACCCAGGGCCTGGAGCCCAGGCCTGGCTCTCTGGAGATCCCCAGGCTCTGGTCCCTTCTGCCCACGACTCACTCTGGGTCAGGCGCGTCCCTCCTGTGCGCGCCCATCTTGAAAATAAAGAGCCCAACTTCAGTCCTCCCACCTTCCAGATGGAGCAGCGCAGACGTAGTCCCCTTTGTGTGCACCAGATGTCCGAGCGCCAAATGCTAAGGGACAAAAAGAATGTCCAAGATGCGGGCTGGTGGGGTTCTCGCGGGCTGGATCGTTTTCTGTGGACTGGAATGGGCTTAGCTCTTTCTCTCCTTCCTTCCTGCTTTCCTTCCTTTCCCTTTTCCTAACCACTGCCAGATGAGGAAGCACCTCATTTATACAGCCAATTCTCTGCAGATCGGCGCCCCTACATTACCCCATCTGGACGGCTTAAATCAGCAGAGCGCCTCGAGGTCACACACGCCCCCTCTCGCGCCAGGCCCGGTGGCTGCCTCCCAGGCTTGTGTTTCCGAAGTGCGCTTCCTAATCCCCTTCAGAAGCATCTGGGAGGGGGTGCTTGTTAAAATTCCAGATTCCAGACCCCTAAAACAAAATCTCCAGAGGTGGGGTCTGGCAACCCACATTTTTAACAAACA